CCATGCTATTATATTAATATCTTATAAAAACATAGCATTCTAAATTTTGCAAAACATTTTCAGATATATCTTTTGATTAGCAAGCTAGCAAGAGACACATTCAAGCTCTCTTTGGTAGATGAGGAGCTGAATACACAGAGGTGAAATAGTTTGCCCAAAGACCAAGAGCCAGTCAACGAATGGCCGAGCTGGAAAGTGATGTCAGGACTTCTGAGTACGAGTTCAACAACTTTTCTGTTCAAGAAAAGTGAGCACTCCTTTCTCCAAGTAGGTCCATGTAGAGTATAAAAAGGGGATGGAAATGAGGAACTAAGGATATGAAATTTCTCATTAGGGCCAACCTCATTTCACTGTTGGCACTGGCTAGTGGGTCAGTTTTTATTTTGTGCCTAACTAAACAGACTCCTTTTATAACGATGGCTAAAGTCCAAGCAATAACACATCCACAGATTCCAAGCACCAAGGGATCACAATTATTGAACTTATTAATTGGGATTTTGTTTTACTTCTTTGTTCATTTTAATAATGGTTTTGATTTGAATAACCCTGACCTCCTTGGACTGCCAGTCATAGACAATAAAAGGCACTGTATTTGAGTTTCACAAAATGTGTATGAATTTGACAAATTTCCTTTCCTAAAGAATGAGTTTGATTTCTATTATTAGAGAAATTGTAGTGTTTCTTCAATACTAATAGACTGATCTTTATAACAGAACTGTAAATAGTATCACAATGATTTTTTTTTTTAAATTCCTCTCTAATTTGGTCTTAGTAGATAGCTTTATATTCTATAAAATTAAGCTTAAGAAATTGGGAGTAATACCTAATGAGTATATCAGAAACCAATTTACTTTGTCAACAATGATGGCATCCAAAGTTTAAAAATGCATCCTGACACCTAAGCTGACAACATATTCCAGGAAACACTATATATCACCAGAGATAAGTTATCTAAGGGCTCAGGTTTATAAAACAGAAAAACTCTGTTTGTGCATGGGTACATTCACGCGTGTGTGTGTGTGTGGGGGGGTGTCTGAGAGGGTGAGAAAGGGAGAGAAATGGAGATTGGAGGAAGGGTACGTATAGGAAGCAAAGGTAGGGCAGGAAACGACCAATATGGATCCTTGAAACTGTCAAAGTAAGAATAGCTTGAACTTTAATTAAGGTAAAACAGATTATCAACAGTGATGAAAAGACTAAGAGAAAATACAAACACAAGCAATTTATTTGAAGGATGAGGTATAACTTCAGTTTTCTCTATGGTTATAGATACAGAGAAGATACCATAATAGAGAAATGAGCTTTGCTCTAAATTTTAAACTTTACTCAAATGGACTTAAATTGAATTAAACAAACTGCTTTCTTACATATGTCTGCCAGAGGAGGAAATGAATGGAATTAACATTTACTGAAACCATTTGTGCCAAGAATTGTGCTAAGTGCCTTGTATAAATAATCCACAGGTGTTCTCATTTAATTCTCAGGGCAGTCACACAAAGTAGGTATTATTAGGACAACTTTAAGATGAAATTAACTCTCAAGAGTTCCCCAGGTCTTGTAGGAGGCAGAATTTGTATTTAAACTGACTCTGGGTAATTGAAATCCCACATGCTTACGATTCTTCAACAGTGAGCAACTGAGGAGAACCTCAAATTATTTATTCAATATCTCATGAAAAGTCCATAAAATGAAAATTTCTAGTAGGAGAATATGACATAAAAATCTACATATGTGGTTTGGCTAAATCTGCATTACTTGATGAGAAGAAAAACTAAATAGGACTAAATATGATTAGAGCTGACTTAATGAACCCAAATCTCATTTAAAAGATTTGTGGGGGTGATCAATTTTTACTCTTAAAACTACAGGTGCATTTAAAAGTGCAGGTGCACTTTTCAAGGACAATAGCGTATTTTAGAATTTAAAATATAAAAGTGATTTTTTATAGTGAAGAAATGCATGAGCTTTGCATACGATATAGCAATGATACGATACCATTAGTTGTAACAAATGGCACAATGAAAAACATAACTGAATCTCACTTTTGCTCCACAAAAGATTTATAATTATGATCATGACAAAAAATAACCAATAAACTGTCATTAATGTTAATGCCTCTTTTTAAATATTTTATTTAATATAAATAACTATGTTGATAGGGAAGAATATGGCCTCTTGAATGAAAGTGAAAAAATATGCTAATTTGTCCAATTAATGAGATCCATCCAGTTTATTAGCACTTACTAGAGAGAAAATGCTGAGAGGATGGTCCGAAGTCTCGATGGGCTTCTTGAAGCTGTTTAAGGCGATCGTCTACAGACATCTGGAAACACACACACACACATAAGACAGATGGAATAACTTGATTTCCAAACAATGACTTTAATAACATCCTTAGTTGAAGTAGTATCAATACGTGATGCTATTGCCCAAGGCATGAACGATTGCTTCCACAGACTTCTTCCCTATATCTGATATCAAAGTACAGGTTCCTCCCACTGTCTAAGAGTTCGCTTTACGCCACTTCACTTTTCCAAAGACCTACGTTAACACCTGTTTTCGCTAACGGAAAGAAATCTAGAGAGGATTTTTGCTTTTATGAAAAAGGAGAAAAGCAAAACTAGCATTCAGCATTGGTTTTGCAGTGAGCTGTTAAAGAGGCAGCACACACCCCGAGCACTGAGAGTGGCATTGCCCAGCTCCTGCCCCAGGAACTACACGCAACACCTCAGAAGCAAGCCCCCATAGCTTCGAACTGTCTCTGTGAACACTATATGTTAGTGGTATTTTAAGTTTTATATGTTGTTTGGTATGATTTAGTAGGCTATTTTGGGGCTCTCAAAGGATGTTTCCCACAATTGCTTTTTCACTTTATGCCATTGGGCTTAAGACTAGTTTCACGGGAACGCTCTACTTTTGGACAGCAGGGGAAACCTGAAAAGGATGAAAATAGATTTTTTTGTGGCATTAAGTAACAGGAAATAATATCAGGTATTCTTCTAAGCAATTTATATTAATTAACTTGTAATCCTCACAACAACCCTGTAAGGTAAGTATCCTTATTACCATTTTACAGAGGAAGAAAATGAGACATAAAAATGTGTCCAGGGTCATGAAGACAGCAAGCAGCAGTGCTCACACCTGCACGCAGGTCTCCTGGTGCCCTGACTGCTACTCTGCACGGTCTCTAGGCCATCAAGCTTTAAAGGTCAAGCTGTGGCCATGGAATCAGCCATTACTCATCTGTTTTTGGTAAGGAAGGTGGTAAAAAGTGCTACCATGGCAATTAAAAAACAAGACTAAAAATTGATAGATGAAACATGGGTAGATGATAGATAAATTATAGGTAGGTAGGTAGATGATCAATAGATGATACATAGAAAATTTTTCCAGATTCTGTGAATGTACATCTTATTTCATTTTTCTCCACCTGATAAAGAGTGAAAAGATATGAGTATGAAATGTCTTATTTTCCTCCAAATTTTTATCTACTCATTTGTACTTGGGAGTATTCAAGTATATGTTACTGTTAGTCAGTGCTGTTGAGTGGGTTCTAATTCACAGTGACCTTATGGGCAACAGAACAAAACAATGCTTGGGTCTGCCCCCTCCTCTCAATCACTGCCACGTTTGAGGACACTGCTGCAGCCACCGTGTCAGTCCTCTCTTTTGCTGACCCTCTGCTTTACTAAGCATGATATTCTTCTTCAGGAACTGGTCCCTCCTGAAAACATGTCCTAAGGAAGTAAGACAAAGTCTCACCATCCTCGCTTCCAAGGAGCTTTCTAGCTGTACTTCTTCCAAGACAGATTTGTTTGTTCTTCTGGCAGTCTGTGGTATATTTCATATTCTTCAACAACACTATAATTCAAAGGCATCAATTCTTCTTTGGTCTTCGTTATTCAATGTGCAGCTTTTGTATGCATAGGAGGTGACCGAAAATACCATGGCTTGGATCAGGTGTATCTTAGTCCTCAGAGTGACATCTTTGCTTTTTAAGACTTTCAGTCTTTTACAGCAGATTTGCCCAATGCAATATATCATTTGAATTCCTGACTGCTGCTTCCACGGGCACTGATTGTGGATTCAAGTAAAATGAAATCCTTGATCAGTATGCTCCACATATGCTCATTTTCAATCTTTAGCTAGGCTACCTACATTACGAAAATGCAAAGAGTTGCTATACTGAAAAACCAATGCAAATCAGTTATAGTTTACTGATGTTCCAGTATTTTTTTCCTGGTCCTTGTAAGTGTTAGGCAGCTATTCCACTTAGACCGTCAATCTTATTTTCAAGTGCCTTTAAATGAAACAAAGACTCTGGTGGCACTGTGGTTAAAGCATTCAACTGCTAATCAAAAGGTCAGCAGTTCTAACCTACCATCTGCTCCATGGGAGAAAGCTGAAGCAGTCTGCTTCTATGAAGATTTACAGCCTTGGAACCTGATGGGGGTCGACAGGAGGTGGAATCGACTTGATGGCAGGGGTTTGGTCTTCTATTTTTAATGTTAAATTATACATGTGTATTTCTCACTGGGCAGTTCAGGTTTCTCCTACTGAGCTATTTATACTGTATTAGAATGTACTATTTATACTGTATTAGAATGTACTATTTATACTGTATTAGAATACACTTTGTTCCATAAAGCATTCAAATGCCACACTTTACACTCTGGTAGAGTAAAGAGATCCTACTCCCAAAACTTAACATTGCCTGCCAGCATAAACTTTCTCATTTTATTCACCCAGCAACTAACATCTGAGCTCTCGGGGTTACCAGGATCAGAGATAAGGATGACAGAATACATGTTCACTTTCAGGCATAATGAATTCCCTAACTCCCAATCTTTAGAGATGGTGATAACAGAAACACAATGGAAAGAAAATCAAGATGGACTATAGGAATATCTACATGAAGCTAATGAACCAGAGAAATGGAGCATGAGAAAAAAAAAAAGAATAAAGGTCAGACTTTCTATGTTCCATTCACTGGAAAAGCACATTTGAACTGAGCAGATTCTGCCCTGCCAGTTTCAGCTCATTAATACTCCTTTCAAAGACAGTAAAAGACTACCAAATGTTCTACATTCATGTCTTACTGCTTCAATTTCATTATGAAAATACGAACCACTGAATGTGTCAATGTTTGCATTAATTCAGGAAACCTATGATATTATTATAAAGAGCCCTACTGGCACAGTGATTAAGTGTTCAGCTGTTAACTGAAAGGTTGCGGTTCAAACCCACCAGCCGCTCTGCTGGGGAAAGATGTAGCAGTCTGCTTCTGTAAAGATTCACAGCCTTGGAAACCCTCCAAGGCAGGCAGTTCTACTCTATCCTTTAGGATGTTATGAGTTGGAATTAACTCGATGGCCATTTTTTTTTTTTTTTTTTCAATCATACTATAACATATGGAGAAAAGAATGAAGTTATCAGAGATTTCATTTTACTTGGATCCACAATCAACATTCATGGAAGCAG